CCAACTGGTCAGTTCCAGTTGGGTCCCTAGTGGGGCAACTCCTACTACTATTCACAGAGGTTGTTGTTTGTCCTTCATTCTTGAAGAGGACAATGACATCAGGGAGGTGATATCATGACATGCAAATGAACTGGATTTAAATGAGGGAAGGCTGTGCAAAGTCACCAGCCTCACTTTCTCCTCCAGAGCTATCTGGGTCCAGTGGCAAGATATAGATCAGGATGACTGGAGATGGCCTCAGATGCAGTGGGAGACCTTCTTTCACAGATCTCTGACTGAAGCAAAGCCCATTCAATGATTAAGGCCAGGTAAGAAATGAGGCAAAGAATGGCTTCTTTTATAAAATCAATCTGGGAGGGGAAGACTCTCAGGGTTTCTGGCCAAAACAGAAACAATGCTATTTACATTCACTCTGAGCCATCAGAATCCAAACAATGACCAAATGAGGCTTGGGCTGGGACCTATGGTTGGCCAATCAATGAGAGCCAGAGTGATTTGGGTTTAAAGCACTGACCTTAAAAGAACTACAGCTCATAAACCCCAAGACATTTTCCAAGGTTTCAGTGATCAAAATTTATATTCCTTTGGGTAGAGCACCTGCAGGTAAGGAAGGATATAATTCCCTGTGTGAACAGAGGGAGAGGAGAAAGGAAGGAAGGAAGGAAGGAAGGAAGGAAAGAAAGAAGGAAGGAAAGAATTGCATTGCCCAACTAGAACTGGCCAGTTGGGTCTCCAGTGGGGTAGCTACTACTACTCGCAGGTTGCTGTTCATTCTTTGTTCTCGAAGAGGACCAAGGACATCAGGAAGGTGATGGTATTACTTACAAGTGAATTGGATTTAAGTAAGGAGGGCTGTGCAAAGTCACCAGCCTCACTCTCTCCTCCAAAGCCAGCTGGGTCCAGTGATAAAGACAACTGGAGATGGCCCCCTATTACTCAGGTAGGAAAGAGAAGAACCTGCATCTAAATTCAGGTTTTCTAACCCCAAATCCAGTACTCTTTCCACTCTGCTACATTGTGTTTCAACTGGGACCCAGTTATCAGAGGTGGCAAAGGGATAGAAAAAAACCCATAAAGTCTAGGTCAACCATCTACACAGCTTTATTTGAGCGGTCTCTGAGGCCATGTCTGTCAAAAATATCTTTCTGTCTAGAGTCTAGAAGACTCCTAACTTATCATGCTGCATCCCATTGTAACACATTGAATGACAAAATCAGTATCCAAAAGATGTCAACAGGCTAGAATAAAATAAGATGAATTTTGTAGCAATAAATGTAAAATCCTGTACTTGAGTTCAAAAATTCATCTGTATAGCTACAGGATGGGGAAAATATATCTGGACAACAGTTCCTGTGAAAAATATCTGGGTTGTGCTGCTAAGAAATGATGAAGAGAATGGTTTCAGAGAAACTTGGGAAAACTTGTACAAACTGATGCAGAATGAGGAAAACAGAACCAGAACAATTTATGAAATAACAGCAATACTGTGAAGACAAACAACTTTGAAAGACTTAGAACCTCCCATTAGCTCAAATGACTGACCACAATTCTAGAGGATTCATGATATTACCTACATTCATACAGAGAGGTGATAGACTCAAGAGAACAGATTGACTTTTTCTTTCATTCTTTCTTTCTTTTTTTCAGCATGGCCAATTCACTAATTCGGTTTTTTTTTTCTTTTTACTATACATGTTTATAATAGAGATTTTGTTTTTCTTGTCTTTTCAATCAGTGGGGAGGTGGAAGTGAAAGAATATAACTCTGCAAATAAAGTTTAATAAATTTTAAAAAAGGAAAAATATCTGGGTGACTTTAGAGGACTGCCAGTAGTCAACAACAGAATATGTTAGACAATAAAACTCACAAGATCTTAGGTTAATTTCAATATTAAAAACAAAGAAGGTGACAGTCCTAACCAGACCATATCTGGAGTGATGCGTTCATTTCTGAGCAACACAGTTTAGGAAGACAGAGTGTGTAAAGTGAAGGACAATTAGAGTGTTGAAAGGAGTCTAGAGATTGTGTTATATAATGAGCAGTTGAAGGAACTGGGGGTGGTTAGCCTGGAGAAAAGAAGATTAAAAAGACGTAATAGCTGTTTTCAAGTATTTGGAGGGCTGTCCTGTGGAAGAAGGATTAGATTTGTTCTGTTTGGCCCCAGAGGGCAGAACTAGGAGGAATGGGTGGAAGTTGTTGAGAATCAGACTTCAACTCCACATAGGGAAAAAATTTTCCTCAAAACTAGATCTGTCCTCAGGAGGACCTGAGTTCAAATGTGACTTCAGACACTTACTGGTTGTGTGATCCTGGGCAAATCACTTAACCCTGATTGCCTCCCCTCCACCCCCCCCCCCAAAAAAATTAGATCTGTCCAAAAGTGAGATGAGCTACATGTGTGATGACTCAAAGCCTTCCAGCAGAGCCTGGCTGATGTCATCAAAATGACCTCTGAAGTCTCTTTCAACTAGACCTGTGATTCGGTGAGGAAGTGTTATTTGTCAGGTTTTAAAAGATGGATAAATAGGAATTCAGCAGGTGAAGAGAGGAAGACATTTTGAACATAGGAAAAAAATCTAAGTAATGTCACAGAGTAATTGCCTGTGTTGTAGGAGAGTGGTAAGAGGTAAGGCTGGAAATATAATGTAATATAAGGTTACTGGGGGGTCTTGAATGCCAGGTAAAGGATTGTGAACTTTCCTAAAGGACCTAGTGGAGATTTTTGATCAGAGGAGTGACATGACCAGATCTCTATACGTAATGAAGAGAATTCTGGTATGTGAAGGGTAAATTAGACGGGAAAAGGTGGAGGCTGGAATATCTGGTAGGAATTAATATAATAGTTCAGGTGGGTGGTAATAAGAATGTGGACTAGGATGGTGACAGTGGAGATGGAGAGCCTGAATTGTTAAAGAGTTCCTACTATAGGATCATACATTTTGGCATGAAGGGGCTTTAGAGATCATCTAACTTAATCTTCTCATTTTATAGATGAGTAGACTTAGATGCAGAGAACAGCACTCTTTTTACCGTATTACACAGTAAAGTCTAAAGTGCTATATAAATGAGTTATTTTTTGGTCTAGATTTATGATTTCATTCATGTGAGGAAACTCCCTCTTACCAATGCAGATTGCCCACTGATGTGCAATTATAGTCTTAGAGAGTTGCTTGGGGAACTAAAAAGTTAAATGACTTGTCCAAGGCCACATAGCCTACATGTGAGAAGCAAGATCTGACTCCCAGTCTCCCTGACTCCCAAGCCCCGCTATTCACCAACACCACTCAGAGTCCAAACGTGAGTTATCTTCATTATTCACCAGTTGTTAAAATGGGTTGCACTGAGCCATTCACAGTATCATCAGATCTTGCTTGTGACCAAGACTGCCAGGCAGTACTGGAATAAACTTAGGGGTGCTGTTGGGTCAGTTTTTCTTGGAGCACAATTAAATGGCTTAAGATGGTATAAAACTAAATAATAGCTAGCACTTATAAAGTGGCTTTCAGAGCTTTACACATACTGTCTCATTTGAGCCTCACAACAACCCTCAGAGGTAAGTGTTATTATGTATGTACAGATAAGGAAACTGAGGCAGGAAGTATGTGAAGCTAGATTTGAACCTGTCTTTCCGACTCGAACTCTACCACTCTATCCTCTGCACCACGTAGCTGCCTCTTCAACAAGCATTTTTTAAGTGCCTACTACTGCTTGCCTGAGAGGCACCGTGACAGTGGGTAGAATGCTGAACCAGGGGTCAGGAGGAGCTGGGTTCAAATTCTGTCTCTGATATTTGTCAGCTCTGTGACTCTTAACAAGTCGTTTAATCTCTCTTGACCCCGGATTCTTATCTTTTGAAATGAGGACTTTGGCTTCACTAGAGGGTCTTCTTCAGCTCTAAATCTCTGACTTTGTGTCTGGCGCTGTTAATAATAATAATAATAGCTCGCATTTGGGGATTTAAACGATCTAGTTGGAACTTTGTGAGGCAGAGTATGAATGTTATTCCCCTTTTACAGCTGAGGAAACGAAGGCACTGAGTGGTTAAAGTGATTTGTGCAGGCTCACGCGGCTAGTTAGTAGCATAATTGGGATTCGAACTTTATTTCTCTAATGATAAATCTAGCCCGTTTTCTACTAAACATTACGGGCTTCTGTGGGTTTGGAAAGAAGGGAAAAGAGAGGAGGCTCCTCCTCCTCGGGAACCGATTCGTCTCCAAGGCAACCAAAGCCCACGCATGCGCAAGGTCAGTCTTCCTTCCCGTAACCCTCGGAAAGCATCCGGTAAAGATTGGCGCATGTGCAGTTCCTAGCCATAGCAGCTGCCTCAGCCTCGTCCGGGCCTCAAGCCGCCGCCACCGCCACCACCTCCAGTCTGGTTCAGAATCTCTCGGCCCCGGCAAGCATTGTCCGGAAATAACGCCCATTTCTGATAGGACACGTCCTCACCAATCACCGCTCCCAGGAGGCGGAGCGACTTGAAGGGGGCGGGCGATTGGACTCTCCTGGCAAGTCGGGGTTTGCTTAGGGCCCCGCCCCGAAAGTCAAAAGTCGAGTGGAACGCGTGGAAAGAGCGGCGCGCGGCTAGTGTAGGTGGAGGGGCGGGGCCCGAGGCCGAGGTTGGAGCCTGGGGGCGGGGCCGGGCGGGTGCCCAGAGCCGTCAAGTGAGGGGATCGAAGCCGAGCAACAGCGGCGACGGCGGCAGCGGAAGAAGACGAGAGCGCGGCGCTGGGGGCCGGCAGGTAGGCGGGCAGGCTGGCGGGCGGACTCCGGGGCAGTGAGAGTCGGGCCCCCTCGGCGTCGGGGCGCGGATCTCTGCCGGAGCCCCGGGCCCTTCTCGGGGATCCCGGGCAGCGAGGCCCTCCTGGCCGCCTGCCCCACGCACGCCCCGGCGCCCGCGCCCCGGCCCGTCCCTCAGCCCCGGGGTCCACATCTGGCGGGGGGACCTGCCCTTCTCCTCCCGGGCCACCCCCCACCGCCTCCTGGGCCTCCTCGGACGGCGATTCGGCTCCCCTGAGCGGGTGCCCGCAGACGTACCCTAGCCTCCCTTAGAACCCGGCGCTGCCGCCCGGCGACTTGTCCGGGGAACGTGGACAAGCCCCCTCAGCCGCTCAGACAGAGCCCGCCAGGTCACCCTCCTCCATAAACCGAGGTGGGTCACCTTCCTTCGTAAAGCGAGGCGGGTGAGTTCCTGGCTGTCCAAGAGCCCACCTTCCATTCCAGCCCTGACATTCTTTGGCCCTCAGAAGAAACGTTCATGTCTAAAAGCCCACGCGTGTCACTCCCCTAGCATCCTCCCTCCAGAAGCGCCATCCTTCCAGGGACCCTGGTACTGGAGCCTTGAAAGCCCACTTAGGGAAGCTTTGCGGATTCTTCATCCTTCTATCCGGCCTAGGACTTCTTTACCGTATGCTCGGTCGGGATGGAGTGATTCCCTTCGCGTCTTGGAATTAGGACGTGTGTATCCCTCTCCCAGTTCCTAAATCGAGTGGCGGCTACAATGTTAATACTTAAGTTACAGACGTTCTCGTCCCGGGCTAGAGATTCCTGGTCTTCTAGGCATCCCTAATGCTCAAAAACTTAAGAAAAGTGCTTCCCCCAACAGTGGTTAAAAGAATACTCTCAGCCTAAGTAGGCAAAGGAATAAGAACAGGGAGGGGACAAGTGGAGGGAAGGAAAAGAAATAAGAATTCTCAAAACGGTAGTATATTTCTTGCTAAAATGTAAACAAAGAATTCAGTTCTATTAAGCGAGCTTTCATGAAGTGCCTACTGCGGGTCAGACCCGGACTAGGCCCTGGGGATACAAGGAAGATCATGATAGCTTGTAAAACATCCTGATGTTTAACAACTCGTATAAATGCAAGTGAAATTTAACGTGGTAGCGAGTAGAGGGCCTGTAGAGCCATCTAGACTGTCACTTTAATGATTATCTCAGTAGAGAGATTCACAACCTCTTTGTCTAGAACTAGGTCTTTCATAAAAACTTGAAGGAGGTAATACTTTATGTTTGAATCTTGCTGTGTTTCTTCTGCTCTATTATAAACTTCTTAAGGTCAGGGACATTATGTTAGTAATTTTCATCATATTGGTTTTTGTTATATTTTATTTTGAAGGTGACATAAGCCTGCAGAGTGCTTTGCATTTTAATTCAACAAGCATTTATTAAACACTTATCCCACAAGGAACTGTGCTCGACTGGGGATTCAAAAACAAAGATAGGTGGCCTCTGCCCTCAAAGAGCTTACATTGTACCTAGTAAGCCCTTAATAAATGTCTGTGTTGAATTGAGCTTTTCTAAGCGTTTTCATATGGATCTTATCTTGTCTTTACAACTTCTCCATAGGGAGGGTAAGACTGAAAGAAAGCTGAACTTGCCTAAGGTGACACAGCTCATTAGTGGCAGAGATAAGATTCTAGAGTACAGGTCTCTTCACTCCCAGTTCCGGGATCCATCAACAGCATACAGCCTTGTGGATTTAAAACCTTGGAGTGGAAGAGGAAATGTTTGATTTGGAAATGGGAAATCTTAACATTAAACCCAACATATAATATACTGTCAGTCATTAAGCACCTACTATGTGCCAGGAATCACCTGTGCACATTTAAAGAGGGGTGCTTGCCTTAATTGAAATGGATTTATTGTTGGTGGGTTGTTTGGTTTCCCAGAAATCTTACTTTCTCATTTGTTTTTTTAGTTGACTTTAGTTCAGCAAACCCCAATTTGGGTGTTCTTTTTTGTGTCATGGACCCCTTTGAGCAACCTGGAGAAACCTAGGGCCCCCCCTCTCAGAATAATGTTTATAAATGCATAAAATAAAATACATAAGATTACAGAGAAACCACTTATACTAAAATACCGTTAGAAATTTATTAAAAGAAGTTCACAGACCCCTGCATTAGAACCCCTTCCTCTAAAGTATGGAACAGCCCATATTATTTTTATCTCAAAGGTCACAGTTCTTGAAGAGTTCTCAAAACATAATGAATTGTAATTTACTTTTTAAAATAAGTGTATTTTAAAATTTAAAAATAAGTGCATTAGGTTGCACTTTCAGGAAGAAAGTGTTAAAAGACTGGGGATCTCTACTCTTGGTCACACAGCTAAATAAGATTTTAGTTTGAAGGAGCAATTCTGAAGGATTTTTTAAGCCTTCAAAAAGTAGGTAAAAGTGTTTAGTGTTGTCACAACCCCCAAAACCTTCCAGATGAGTCTTCCTGTTAATAAAAATGTTTGGTTGAGCCCATTCCCTTCACCAGATGGAGGTTTGGTTCCCCATTTTGAGTCTTATTTGAGAAGCTGTTTTGTGATCTGCCTGGAGTGGTGTGTGTCATTGGTTGTTGAGAAGAGAAGCTGTCCTTATTAGTTGTTTGCCTCACTCCCCACTGACTCTAGTTTTAGATGAATGATGAAAGTGCCACACCGGGCAGAACCATACTTTTCTTCCTTTATTCCTTGGTAGAACTAAAGGAGTCACGAGAATTCATTGAGGGGTGTTTTTGCTTGATCTTGACATAGGTGTGGTGGGTTCTATCACTTTGATTTGTTAAGTTACTTTAAATTTTTTTTTCCTGTTTCATAGTGGCACAGTCACTTTTAGCAGATCTTTGTTAGCAGGCCTACTTGCTTTGATGTAGTTGACATGTTTTTTTGAGGAAAACTTTCAGCTTTTTTAATCCAAATTCATACCCAAAGAAAAGTAAAAAATCATTTAATTATCTAGATGGCATATAGGCAGCATTTGTCTAGCATTCGCTCTGTCATTTAAAAGCTGATTTATTTTTCCTGGCAAAAGGTTAAAATGCAACTAAAATTCTGCTTTCGTGATTAATAAGTCACTACCGCAGTTGTTTCTGATGCTTCCTGTTTGCTTCATTTTAATATTTCAGTTAAACTGAAAACATCTGAGCATTATGGGCACTTTCGATGGTAGCAGTGTGAAATTGATAGGGTATATTACCAAAAAAAAAGTCCATGACACTGGGCCTGGGAACTCTTAAGAAAAGTTAGTTAGCCCTTTGTGTCCATAGAGGTAAGGGGGTTTGAAGGTATCCCTGTGTCTAAGGATGATCATTTAAAATAATACTCTTGCTAAAGTCTTAAATTTACATAAAAGCACTGATCAAAAAGTAGAAACTAGTAGATTAGAAAATGATAGTCCAGGGGCAGCTAGGTGGTGCAGTGGATAGAGCTCCGGCCTTGGAGACAGCAGGATCTGAGTTCAAATGCAGCCTCAGACATTTGACACTGTGTGACCATGGGCAAGTCACTTAACACTGATTGCTTCACAAAAAAAAAAAAAAGGAAAGAAAATGATAAACCAGGTGATCAGCAAATTGTGGAAAGAAAATTTCAGTTGAACTGAGCTTTCATTGTATGTTTTCCATTCTGTATTTTAGATTTTTCTTGTTAATGCCAAGAAAAATATTTTAGTGCCCTATATTTTCCTTCATTATATTCTATCTAGTTCAGAGGGTTTTTCCTCACTTGTAATATAAGGTAGTTGGACTAGAAGGTTTTAAACATGTTCCTTCCACTGCTGCCAACATTTTATGGTTCACCTTTTTCCTTTTATTTTTCTTCTTTTGACATCCTTAGCCTCTCAATAAAAATAACACCATAAAATCACAGCACCAAAGAGTTAAAACAATTTGTATTCATATCATTAATTTTGATAGTAGCCTTTTTATTATTTTATTTTTCAAGAAATGAGTATTTTTATAATTAATCTGGCCTTCCTACTGTTTCCCTCCCCCACTGAGCAAATTTTTTAAAAATCCCTCAATACATATCTACAAAGTCTGGCAAAGTAAATTCCCATATTAGATATGTCCAAAAATTTATGTCTTTCTCTTCATTTTTAAGTTCATCACCTCTCTGTCAGGAGGTAAGCTGTGTGTTTCATTTTCATTCTTTTGGATTCTTAGTTTATTATTACATTGATCAGAGTTCTAAAGTCTTTCAAAGTTGTTTTTCTCTAATGTTATCATTGTATAATTTGTTCTAATTCTGCTCACTTCAGTCCTCATCAGTTCATAAAGATCTTCCCAATTTCTTCTGAAATTGTCCACTTCATAATTTCTTATGACACAATAATATTCCGTTACATTCATATACCATGATTTATTTAGCCATTTCACACTATGAGTACAACCCCTTAGCTTCCAAATTTGGGCTGTTACAGCCACCTTTTGAAATAAGAAGACAACAAGGATTTACCTTTGTTTTGCAGATAGGAAAAAAATGAGGAACAGAAGATCTAAGTAATTTGGACAAGGTCCCATGGGATGTTAGTAGCATGGCCAGAATTAAACCCCACATTTCCGGATTCCCAATTTAGTGCATTTTCTACTAATCTATGCATAGTATAGGACAGATTTCTCTCAACCTGTCAACTTTGATCTTTATTAAAGCAGAATATTTACTTTTATTTAAATACCTGGCACATTAGGATAGAAGGTAAATAGTGCCCACAACTTTATATTTGAATAGTCACAATACACATTCATATGAATAACAGTTTCATTTGCTTCTCATAAGTGTTGGAAGATAAGATCATAGGATTTAGAGTAGGAAGGGACCTGAGAGAGCAATTAGTCCAACCCCCTTGTTTTACAGATGCTTGAATTAAAGACAAAATAATGTTTATCTGTTGCCAGAAAAGTAGGACTTTGTGTCCCTTATTTTGTAAATCAGAAAAAAAGCTTGTTTTTTTCCCCCAGCTTATTAACACTTTTTTTTTTTAGATAGAGGAAGCTAATTTATCCCTGGTTTTGAGTCTGAAAGCTACAGAGGTATAAATGACCAGTATTAGATCTTATCTTGAAGGCACCTAGGGGTGGGAGGGAAATATCCTGAGGACCCTAGATACTAGGTCTCTTCCAGCTCAAAATTTTTGAATCGCTGTAGGTGGTGATGGATGGACACAATCCGTGTTTCCCTTTGAAGAAAAATTATTTCAGTTTTGAATTAGTTTAAATGTTCTTTTAAAAAACATGAAATGAAAATACTGGGCTTTAACCCAACCCGATGTTCCCATTAAATAACATTTTGTTTTCTGTTGGGGAAGCTTTATTGATGACTGATAGTCATTTCTAAAGTGAACCTAGTTTTTAGAAAAAATAGATCACCGGATGTCGAGTTCTGTGTTGCACTCAGTTCAGATGAAAATGAAACCTTTACC